CATGGAGTTTTAAGGACTAGAGACCAGTCTGGCAGATAACCAGTATGTGCTTGAGTCCATCTTTATGGAGTGGAAAAGGAAGGTGTATCCCCTGGGGTTCCTTGATACTGGGAGCTGCAGAGTGGGAGCTGTGACAGGGAACACCTTGGAAACGCTCAGGGCTCGGTGTGCCAGTGTACACAGGCAGTTGGGGCCCTGGGAGTGCTTCTGATGCAGGTTTTCCTTTCCAGAAAATGCTCATTTTTAAGTTCAGAAATAGTAACAGACAGTAGGATTCACCTGATTTTCACCTTCTGAAAGTTAGGCTCGTAATTAAAGTATCATTAGATGCCTTCACTGGTGAGTGAAGAGGAGGCATCTCCACTCAGGGCTTCATCTTGCTTGTCTTGAATAAGATGAATCATGCCCTTTTTCCATCCTGCTTTCTCTTTCTCTGTTCCTTTTCTTTCTTCCTCCCTCCCTTATCACTCTAGAAGCAGCCAAGACAATTAACTTCAGTTAATTACCCAACTTTCATGATTGCTCAGACCAGCTAGGTGAATCTCACCTGAAAGGCAGGAATGGGGATTGATTTGAAGAGCTATCTGAGGAAAGCAGGTCTGAGATCTCATCCCTGTTGTGAACTGGGGGGGAAAATAACATTTGTGTTTATGTGCAGCTTTAAAATAACAGGGTGAAACCAGGAGAAGGAAGAGGAAAATCCTTTTTCTACCCCAAGACTAGAGACAAACATTTCATTCAGACACACTAATGGGGAGGACAGAACTTCTGTCTTAGGAATGTAATTGTTCTTTGGGGTGGACTGGGAGCACATTTGGCTGTGCTGAGGCTCAGTGTGTTTCTGTTCACACAGCTCAGCTGGGGAGGGGGATGCCCCATGCTTTCCTTGGCTGTACAGGCTCCTGCTCCGAGCTGAGTCTGCCCAACTGTTAGAGAGAAAGGAATTCGAGTGTGATGAGGCTGTAGAGGGCATTCCCTTACAGATACAGAATTAGATGTTCTCTCCTGTACTGCTGAAACTGGACAGGGAATAAAGCTACATTTCATGCTGTGGGAATTAATAAGAAGGGAGAGGCTGTCTGGAGGGTTTGTTGGGGAGGGAGCTTGGAAAAGGCAGACAAACCCAGCGAAACTGTTCCAGGCTTGGGGAAAAGTGCAGCCTGGAGTAGGAGGGAGTAAGGCATGTTCTGTGTTTCGGGTGCCAGCAGGAGATGTCATGCTCTCTCTGGTGGTGTGGTAGGCATGTTCCCTAGGAATTAGGTGGAGGCAGTCGTGTTATTTCAGCATACCAGTGCTAGTTCAGGCAATTACCATGTGAAGACACAGTGGATGGAGGGAGAAGAAAGGCTCAGGGGGAAAAACATGAGCTTTTTTTCCCTGTAATACTTGGGCTCAAGTTCCTGTTCTGATTTTGAGCAGATCAGAGTCCACACTCCTTTTCCCTGCTGTAAAACGGAGCTCATACGACATCCCAGCAGAAGGAAATGTATCACAGTCTAGTGACAGGAATAGCCACAAGTTGGGCACATAAACTGGGAGGTGCTCATGGGTGTCAGAGGCCTTTTCTTGCAGAGATGAGCTTGCCTTGTGTTTGACATGAGTGTGTAGGAATTGCTGCCTCTGGCCCTTGAGTGGGCCCTTCTCTCTCCCAGGAGCCTTTTCTGTAGCAGCTTGTTTGGTGCCCGTGGTGGGGCTCAGTGTCTGGAGTGCATTTGGTGTTTTGCTTGGGCATTTATTGCTCCTTGCTGCTGCCTTTGGTACAGGACATGCTTGGGAGTATTCTGGAGTGCTGTTATTTCGGGGTGTGAAAGAGTCTTAGGCCTGTAATCTGGAAATACAAACTACATCTGTCACCTGGGTATCCGTGGCGGTTTCTAAGCAACCACAAGAGTTTATTTTTTTCTGCAATTCATATTTAAGAAATAATTTGCTCATGCATGAACCAGAATCAGCCTGAGCACCACCCCAGGAGACAGAAATTGTAAACTGTAATTTAGGCTAATTCTAGTCTGAAGCATGAATTAGAGTATTTTATGTAATCTTGAAAAATATACCATATAAATAAATGTAAGCACAGAACAGGTACAATTAATTTGAGCACAGTAGGAAGCTTTAAGTAACTCTGGGAATGTGAGAAACCAAGTCGGAACATATTCTTGACATGTAAAAATATTTCCCACCTGCCTTGTTTGCATAAGAACAAGGTTTTAGCAAGTACATATTTGCATGTCAAAGTTAAAAGTGGGGAAAATATTTTCACCCTGGTAAGAAAAATGCATAATCTTGGCACAGGCAATTTGCATTTAGTAAGTTTAAAGTATCCTAATTCCTTTCATGCTGTATGAAAAGTGTATGAACGTGTGACAGGGGTTCCATTTCAATGAGTTGATTTGCAGAGGCACCACGTGGAGCAGTAATTGATCTGATCTCCCTGTGCATTAATTTGTCCCACAATTGGTTGTGGCAATCCAGGGCTCATGTGGCTGTCCTGAAGTGCTGTGTGCCTGATGGAAAGGCGGGGCTCATGTGGCTGTCCAGCTCAGTCAAACTGCAGCTTGAAGTGCTGTGTGCCTGATGGAAAGGAGATGCAGTAAATGTGAGGAGATCTGGAGTCCTGGAGCTGTCTATACCTGGAGCTATCTATACCTGGAGCTATCTATACCTGGAGCTATCTATACCTGCCTTGGTGCCACTGCCCATCCAAACCCTGATGGGCAAACGCTGGCACAGCTGGAGCCTCTGTGCTGTGGAGATTCCTCCTCCCAGGAGAGCACCCTGGAAAATGCTTTTGGGACTAATTATGGCACCTTTTAGACTATTCCTCACCTGGCTCTAGGCTATGCCTTTGAAGGCATGTTGCATTCCTTCAGAAACCCTCTGCAAACGTCCTGGTGTTACGGACAGGATTGCACAGACAGGCTCCATGGGTGATTAACTAACATGCCGAGATTGTAGATAAACTGGATCCAATTATATCATACCTGTTCACAACCAGGCAGTCATTGTCTATGTAAAAGTGAAATGTGAAGAATCTGAGCCGTGTGGCTGTGGAGAGGAGCCTTGTCATCCCCTGTCCAAGGAGCTGCAGAAAGCTGCTGATTCACTGCAGCACAGGGGAAAAATAATCCTGTGCTGGAAAGGCACAACTGGGATTCGCAGAGCTATTCTGGAATTTGCCCACAGGATTGCTCTCTGAATTTGAGTTGCACATTACACAGATTCCGAGTTTCTGTGCATTTCTGTGCTTCCATTTGGGTTTGTGCTGCGCTCGTAAACACGCGATGCTCCAGGAATAATTCCTGTAGCACATCAGTGAAACAGCACACACGTTATTTTCCCCTTTTATTAGTTCACTTCCTGCTCCATTGGGTTTAATGTCTTAGCTGAGAGCAAGGTGAAATTAAAACCATTTTTGGGGAAGAAGTATTTCCTTCCTTAAGTGTCCTAAACAGACCTTTAAATTTCCACCTGTTGTTTTGTTGCTGCAAGGATGGTGAGGGATTAATGGTCAAAGATGCAAAGATCCTTAAGATGGAAGAAGTGATGTCCTGCTGTATGAGGATATTCCAGAAGCTGCTGATAGGGAACTGCCTGGCCAAAGCCACACAGTCCATCCCTGCTGGGCACTGCTGTCCCCAGCAGAGTGTCCTAGCTGCTCTTGGGCTCCTGGGAGCAAACTGGTCCCACTCAGGTGCTGCTCACCTGGGCCCATCATTGGGTGTCACCTGGAGAGTATTTTGAAGCAGCATTTTTGTACATTCCGTGTTGTGCTACAAGTCATCTGATCTCCTGCTCTGTAGTTCTGGCTTTGGCCAGGCCTTGAGCTGTGGTGTGGGGCTGTGATGGAACAGCACACAGCACCACTGCCAGGTGGGTCTGGGGATTTAAGGGCAGGTAAAATGCAAGAGTGGACATGACTTCTAGAAAACAGTGGTGGGAATACAACTGAAATGAAGGTGAGGCATTGGAAACCAGTTAGGATGGAATGTGATTTTGTATCCTCACAGCCTGGGTGAAATAAATGCTCCCCAAAACTGGTAGCTGGTGGATGTCCCTCAGGGAGATGAGCAGCACTTGTTGATGTATCAGAGTTACCAACAGCAAGAGTTGTGCTGGAGTGTCCAGGCTGAGCCTGTTGAGGAGAATGGACACAGCCTGATCTGAACAGCACTGTGGCACAGAAGGTGCTTCTGTGGGGCTGTTCAGGCACTGCTGGAGTGTGTGAGCACAGCCCAGCACACGTGGAACCTGCTGGTGCCTTAGCTCAGTCCTGTCCAAACAGACCTGCTGGTACAGTGACTGTGGCCAATGCTCCAAAGGCAGCTGGGGAGGTAATCCTGAGCACGAGGGAGTCCCTTCTTACACCCTCGTGCTCCCATGGGAAGATGCTTCATTCACTAAACTGAACTCAGTAGGTGTGTTTGAGTTTCAAACACCAGAGCTTGTAGCTGTACAGGTTTTCCAGACTGTGCCGATTCCTTTGGCCCCAGCGAACTGACTCGAGTGCTGCTGTGTTTTCCTCCCTCCTGTGTCCTGTGGTGGAGACTACACAAATACAGATACCTCCCTTTGGATGCAGATGGGCAGGTTTTGGCCTGGGCACAATGCAGTTGCCCCTCAGCTCGTTGCCTTTGGGCCGTGTGGGCAGTGTGAGCTGGTGGTGTGTCCCTGGCAGTGCCGCAGAGTCACCCGTTACCCTCTCCCATCCTGAGACTGGGACAAACCTCTCCAGTGTCATCTTATCTCTTTGGCCAAAATGTGAACTCTCCTGTTCTTTTTGGCTTTGAAATGCTGATTCTAGGCTTCTTGTGGGTTCTTAACCACCTTCTCAAATGACCCATTTTAATAACCCAAAAGCTATTATATAACGAGCAGCCATAATTTAGTCCAAAGCTCTAGGGGATCCTTGCAGTTCAGCAATGAATAGTTAATGCAGTATAATGTTTAGCAGGTTATTAGTTTTCACTGTACAAATGCTGATCAGGGAATGCTTTTATAAGGTGTTTAAAAGAAAATGTAATTAACTGGTTGCGTGCTTCTGTTGCAGCTCAAATTGAAATTATTCCATGCAAGATCTGTGGAGACAAATCATCAGGAATCCATTATGGTGTCATTACATGTGAAGGCTGCAAGGTAAGCTTCTAAAATATTAAGTCTTAAAACAGCATTTAGCCTTTTGATAGTGATTATTTTGCTTCCTTTTCTAAAGAGTGAGGACTGTGCCGAAGTACAAGCGGTGGATTCGTTTCAAAGGAAAGTGGTTGGGGGTTCTGAGGTGCTGGTTGGGTCTGGGTTGGAGACAGGACAGTTCTGTGGCACACACCTGCAGGGCCACAGATTGCAGGACAGTCATGCAGTTTGTGCTGCAAACTGTCCCCTCTCAAGAAGCAGAAGAGCTGCAGAAAGCTGATCTGCTTTAGCATACCACAGTCTGTTGGTGCATCAGTCTGAGAGGGAATTTGGCTGTCTTGACTCTCCAGCTCTGTTTTTGCTTCGTAAATTGCTGTGCTGAGATAGGTGAGAGCTCTCTAGCCTCTCAGAATTCTTCTGGACTCTGCTGCAGTTAGAAGTCTGTTTGTTTGGTGGGAAGATGGTGCTGTACAAGTAGCTCACACTTTGGTGGTGACCACACTCAGCTCTTGCTGGAAGGTTCAGGCTCTGCATTTTGTTCCCTGGAGTTGTGCCTTTGGTAGCTCTAGTGAACAAGGATTATCCTGGCAGCATTTCTGTTTCTTCAGTGTATCTGTCCCAGCCAGGAGCTGACCTGGACAGGTCCCCACGGTGAGTGCAGTGCAGCTCCTCTGGACCAGCAGGGTTGCAGTGCTGGCTGGGGGCACAGTGTGCACAGCTCTGCCTTGTTGCTCTCCTCATGTTATGTGCATGTTACAATCCCGTGCTGACAGGTTCTCTCCTGGTAATCTGGTGTTATGTGCATGTTGCAATCCCATGCTGACAGGTTCTCTCCTGGTAATCTGCACTTCAGGTGTGAAAATTCATATTTGTGACAGTTTTCACTCTGTTCTCCTGACATGCCTGATACTACAACCCATCTTCAAAAAGTAACTTACTCACTTTCACTAGATTTTTGTGTTTTTCCAAGGAAGATTTTTATTTTTATTGACACATACGCTCAGTCTCATGGAAGTATTGGGAAGAAGGAAGGAAAGAAAATAAATGTAAGAATCTTGGAGTGATATGAGACTGCACCTTCTGCCCTTTGTGAGAGCTGTTGCTATGGAAAATGCAAGAAATGCACTAAGAATGCATTGATAACAAGGTGGTGGCTGTTCCCAGCATGATGGGGTTGAGCAGCCTCAGTCAGATCTGGGCTGTGGGAAGTGCCAGACATCTGCAGTGAGAATTCTGCTGCGTGACTGTCTTGTCAAAGATCATCACTTTATGTTCAGGGTCCAAGACCTCTTTAGTCCTGCAGTGGTCTGGGACCAGTGTACCCGAGATTGGCTCAAGATACACAGCCAACATCACTGGGAACAGACAGAGGTTAGTGCAGAGCTGACACTCCTCGAGCTGCAGTGAGAGCTGCTGTCCTCACGCTGTCTTCATGCAGGTCTTTGGCCTTGCCCTCTGCTGAGTGCTGTGTGGGGAGAGCCCCACGAAAGCAGCAGGACAGGGGACCAGAGCCTCAGACTCACAGTCATGTTAGTGTGTGCACAGCTGGAGGTGCTGAGCACTGGGGTGGGAGAGAGGCACAGCCATGGAGCTTCCTCCCTCAGAGTGGCTGTGCCTTCCTGGGAATAGGTGTGGGTTACTAGGAGGAGAAAATCCTTTGTGTACCTCCAGCAGTCAGAAGCACAGCTGCTAGCCCGATGGTGAGAAATGTGTGTGCAGGCCCCGATGTTTTAGAACCCATGATTTTCCTGTAAGGGCTGGTGTAAATGGAGTTCTCTGGGAGCTCTGCAGTCCTGAAACCCATGTGAGCCCTGAAAGCAGAGTGTGGTGAGACAGTGGCCCAATGAATGAAGTGAGGTATTTTCCTCTTGGAGGAGCAGAATAAAGTTTTGTAGCCATACAATTTCAGGCAAACAACATCAACTTAGTTAACTAAGTTACTTTCCTTTCAGGAGAGAAATAACTCTGAAGCTCACTCTTCAATGTCCTGCAGATAGAGACCGATAAGGGCAGTGCTAGTGGGCACAAGTCACAGGAAGAGTTTAAATGATCATGACCCAGGCAGCATTTTAAATACCCTGCTGTGGCTGGTGATTCTGTTTGTGCTGCACTCTTCCACAGCAATGTCAACAAAGTCTCACCCAACAGAACTATTTTGGCTGGTGCAGAGGTTGGCAGAGCTTGGGTTCTGCCAGAGGAGCCAGGTGTGTATTGGTATGGGTTTTTTCCCAGCTTTTTTTCTGGCTGCGATTGCTGCAGGTTGGAGCATGCTTACCTTGCTCTTCATGCTGTGCTGAACCTTCCTTTGTAAAAAGCACTTGGCTGTGAAGTCCTGGTGTCCTGTGCCTGATCCTGGAGCCATCGTCACGCACCAGCAGGCAGTCCCAGAGAGGTCAGTGAGGTTCTGCACAGTGCTGCAAACCCATGGTGTGCATCAGATGGCAGGTCAGGGCCTCAGCTGTCAGGAGGGAACAGATGTGCTGCTCCCTCTCAAGCCAGGCCTGTCAGGAGTGATCTACAGGCAGCAGCAGCCAAGTGGGATGTTTCCAGCTCTTACTGGTTTTCACTCCAGTTTGGTGTGAACTTCAGTGTTCCTTAATAGTACTGTTAACTCACATGTTACTGTGCAAATACTAGTAACCACCAGAAATATAATTTTTTTCAAACCTGATGTGAAGTTTAGTTGCAAAGACATAGTTTGCAGTTCTGATCTGTGCCATGTATGGAATCACAGACCAGATAAAACCTGACGTGAAGTTTAGTTGCAAAGATATAGTTTGCAGTTCTGATCAGTGCCATGTATGGAATCACAGACCAGATCTTGTCACATTGACTTTCTCTGGTGTTAGTGGCAGTGTTTGCACAAGCATCATTGAGTACTCCCAGCCCATCAGCCTATTCAGCAGAATTTGAATCTGCTTTTAAAAAAATAACATTTAACTCCCCTTCCTTTTTTCCCCCACAAGTGAAAAAAACAGGTTTTTAGCCAGGTTGTGTTCTACACTTCATCTAGGAGGGCTCCCATGGCTTTTAAAAGGCAAGGTTCTTCTTTGATCTGAGCACTGCTGGTATCCAGTGTACAGCATGTAATGGGGCAGAGGGAAAATGAGATCAGGCTTTTACTGAGAGGCTTAGGTGAGGAATGATGCAAAGAGTGTGCCACAACTCAGAAAGAGAAGTTTATTCTCCTGGGTAAGACTGGAAATAACTACGGTTGGAGGAGCACTGCTGGAAAACTGGTGTCTGTATGGAGCACTGCCCCAGCCTGTGGGAACCCAGGAACAACCTTTGGTTCTGTAGGAGGGATCATGCTGGAAAAGGAGACTGGTTTGTGCCTCTTCTCATAGCTGAAAGCTGAATCCAGTTAAGATCAGACTGGATGTGGCACTTGGTGCCATGGTCTAGTAACCACGATAGGGTTGGACTTGATGATCTTGGAGGTGTTTTCCAACCTGTTTGATTCTGTGATTGTTGGAGAGTACCTGAATGTTTCAAAGGATATAGCCCAGAATTAGTTTGAAAGGAATATTCTGTTAATGAATGATGTAATTTAATTTGCAGGTGCAGTTGAGTTCGTGCCCCACTAACCCCCACGTGCATCAGGGTGACCCCCCTCTCTACCTGACTGTGCAGTCAGTCTCACAAAACCACCTGTGCAGGCACTTCTGGGCAGTTCCCACACTTTAAAGGTTTAGCAGTACTGGCACTTGTCTCTTGTGTCTTCTAAAACCCTTGTGTCTTCTAAAACCTAAGATGATCTTGTTGATTGTAACTGAGGGAAGTCCACGTTCATCCCTTCAGCACCCACTGCCTGGTGCACTGTCCCTGCCCAGCTGGTGTTCTTTGGGTCATGTTCCATTCCCTCACTGTCTTTACTGTGCAGCTTTTCATTATCTTGGAGTGTCAGACATCTACCTCACGTTCTGCTTTTGAAGCTTTCTCTGGTTTTTGCTTACCCAGTCTCAGAACATGCTGCCCAAGGGCTGAGGCTTCTTTCAGAAGGGGCTGTCAGAGCTGTATAAGTTGGTAAACATAAGCTCACTCCTGTGCTCATTACCTATGTGAAACTGAACGTTTTTGCTCTGTTTTCAGTGGCACCATAACTTTGTGATCAAACACTTGATTAACAAGGTTTATTAAACCACATTGGCCCAGCTCTTTCCTGCTTTTACAGCTAAATTATGTGCTCGTTGTCACAAAAGGGTTAAAGCCCAATGTCAGTGTTCACCTCTCTGTCATGTTAGTGCATTTCTCTGATGTTTCTTTGAAGAAAATTTGTGGTGCTTTGCTTTATAAAACACTAAAATAACGACTCCCCCCCAACTAATTGTTAATTGCTCAGAATATTGCAAAACCTAATGATACGTGGAAGTCTTTAAGCATTAGCCATAAATCACAGGATTATGAATAAGTCTTTGTTGTCACAGGCTCAGGCAGCTCTTCCAAACTCTGCCATTAGGATGCGGCAAGGCAGCTGTCAGCTGTTTTCTTGTAATTAAACAGCCAATGAGCAGCTAATTAAGACATATGTGTATACAGAAGTGGAAGTGGGTATGGTAATGAACTGTAGGAATCAATTCATTAAATGAAAATTTGTCAAAAGACCAAACATGGGCTGGGAGTCGCAGGCTGTGCCGTGCCCCGGGAGCAGGGCTGGCTCTCCCGGCCCTGGCTCTGAGCAGCTGAGGTGCTGCAGCTCCTCATAGACTTCCCAAAAATGGCTATTTACATTTCAAAGTGCTTTTTTAACAAGTTGTTATTTGAGCTGACTGGCAAGATGAAAAGTTCTTGCACCCTTTTTTTCCCCCCCAACTCGATTCCTTGGCAGCCTATGAAAACCAGTAGCTGGTGTTGTGTATAAATAGGAGTCAGAGATGGAGCTGTGGCTTGTGATCTGCTCTACTCTCTCCTGGCACTGCATTAATACAGCTGCATGGAGTGGGAGATGCAGAGCTGAGTGGTGCCTCACCCGAGTCACTGGAGGAGTGTCCTGGCGTGGGGCAGAGGGTCAGCACTGGTTGGGGCACACAGACCCTCCCGTGTGTGATGGAGAGGGCTCAGCTCTGGCCCATTAGCCCACGTGCTGTAACCCCCAGTGCAGAGATGTGGCCTGTGCTGCTTGCATAACGCTGGATGTATACACGTGTCCCAGGCATGCATCCACCTCCTCCTTCCTGCTGGAAAAATTACAGCTAGCTCCGTGCCTCTGGCGAAAGAGAGGGGATGGAACAGCAGAGCACAGCGTCTCTCCTTCCCTGCTTTTAGTAAAGGGGGAAAAACAACCTAGGAACAAACTATGTCTACTTACAGGAGGCTCCTGTAGGAGGGACACGTAGTGATACGAGAGCCCAAGGACCATCAAAGTCAGCAAAACTCAAATGTAAACAACAAGAATCTCGAAGAACTTTGAGAGTAATAAACCCTCAGTGTACCTTCATTGTCAGTTCAATCTCAAATCCAAGACGTGTGTTTCTGGCCCTGGACTAGCCTAGGTTAGTTTTTAGAGTTTGTGGCAAGGTTGTGGTTTTTTTCTGTAGCTGCTGCTGCTGTTTTCCCAGGGTTTGTTTTTAAAAGCACTCTACTAGGTCTCTGGGTATGAAGTGCTTTTAAAGGCCCCAGTTTCAGGCAGTTCAGCTCTATTGAAAACGTAGCTTCAAGCTGTAACTTAGCTGATATATTGTACACTAAAATGTATTGAGCAGCTGTGTCTCCAGGGAAAATCTAGAAATGGAAAAAGCCCAGTATTTTCTCCATTATAGTACTAAAAATAATCCTCAGCTTGACAAGACTATTCTTAATGAAGAGAAATATGCCAAAGTGGCAATACAGACGCAGAATGTATCTCAGCTAAAGGAAAACACATGGATCTCTGCGGTTATCGGGGCATGTTCCTGGCACATAGCGATGAAGCTCATTCTGGGGATCTTGGTGGCACAGCTCATGCAGTTCAGATGTGAGCACGTCCTTCAGGGCAGTGTGGGAGTGTTTGGAGAACTGATATTTTCAGGAAATGCAGAGCCTTGGTCTGTCAGTCACTGGTCAGCTCAGTCCCTAATCCTGTTTCCCTAGTGAATGGCACTGCACTAGTGCCAGGCTCCTCTGAAGGTGCTAACAGCCCTGGAAGTGAAGCTCTCTGCTTTACCCAAGAGGTGGTTCCTCTAGATGGATCAGTTTTGATGTTGGAATGGTAGAAATTTTCATGGTGTTTTCTTTAGGGTGAAATTGATGTTGGAATGGTAGAAAATTTCATGGTGTTTTCTTTAGGGTGAAATGCACCCAATTGGAGCTCAATATATGCAGTATGTTCAGTCTCGGTGACAATCATCTCACTATTGACAAACATGAAAAAACCAGCTGAAAGTTCAATCATACAGAAACAAAGACCAGAATAAAAAGGCGAGGAATAATGTACAGGAGGACAGGATTAAAGGCAGCATCTTTAGTGTCCTTTTTTTGTATGTACTCTGTTTCTCCAGTAAAGCTTCAACAAAAGATTTGGTGCCCTCCTCCCAGGATGGGGCAGGAGGGTTTATCTCAGTGTTTGATCTTGTTTTGCCTGCAGTTTGCTGGGAGGTCTCTTATGGTCATGCAGAAGTTTGTTTGTTTCCCCAAGTGCCTGGGCATGTGCAGAGGGACTCCAGCACACAGCCTTCCAGTGCATGAAACATTGGGAAAAGTCCAGCTTTAATTACAAGGTGCCCAACCTTTCCAAGGAACTATTTTCTTTGCAGCACTGTTAATTAATCCATGATGTGGCAACGTAAAACTCAAATACTGTGCTCACTGATCTCAGGTGCCTCTTTAGAATGACTACATCTTTGCAGAATCCTTGTGAAGTAGGTATTACACCTACAGCAGCTTATGTTTGGGCAGTCTGTGGCAAAAGGATGGAATGGACTTCAAAGCAAACAGCTGCATAGTGGTTGGTGACGTGCACCTTTCCGGGGAGACAATAAAGCTGCAGCTCTGCGTAACCTTCCCGTGCAGCTTCCTCTGGAGACGGGTTTACTCACAAAAGAGATCAGCCTGAAAAGGTGGTTTAGCTTTCCTCATCCTTACGAATCTAAATCCTGCACCAAGATGAACAAAACCTCAGTTGTCAGCATCAAACTAACTCAAAAATCTCAGCAGCAGTGTGGCCAGCAGGGCCAGGGCAGCGACTCTGTACTGGGCTCTGGTGAGGCACCTTGAACCCATGTTTGGTTTTAGGTTCCTCATACAAGGAGGACACTGAGGGGCTGGAGCAGGTCCAGAGCAGGGCAACAGAGCTGGTGAAGGGACTGGAGCACAAGTCTGATGAGGAGAGGCTGAGGGAGCTGGGGGTGTTCAGCCTGGAGAAGAGGAGGCTCAGGGGAGACCTTATTGCTCTCTACAGCTGCTGAAAGGTTTGGCCAGGTGAGGGTTGGTCTCTTCTCTTAGTGACAGAACAAGAGGAAACAGCCTCAAGTTGTGCCAGGGGAGGTCTAGATTGGATCTTGGGGGAAATTTCTCCACTGAACAGGTGGTCAGGCATGGGAACAGGCTGTCCATGGAAGTGGAGGGATCACTATCCCTGAAGTGTCCAAAAAGGTATGTGGATGTGGCACTTGGGGTTTAGTGGTGAACACATCAGTGCTAAGGTAATGATTGGACTCGATGATGGTAGAGGTTTTTTCCAACCTTCAGGACTCGATGTGTCTATAAAAAACATTTCAGGAAGTTGTTCTTTGTAGGAGACACTGCTCAGCATCCTCCTGGGTATTTTTAAACACCCAGAGATACAGTGGCGAGGCTGAACGTCAGAGCCTGCTGCTCCAGGAGCAGAGCCGGGTGGTGGCTGTTGCAGCCTCCCTGTTTTGGAGATCTGTACCCGCCCAGGGAAGACAGGAACTCAAGGAAATCTAGGCCTATAATTAGTTCTCTCTCATTTGGAAGGAACTGGTGTACCATATGTAATATGGGATCTGTAAAATCAGCCAATAGATGTGAATTCCTTTACATGCTCTAACACTTTTATGAACTGTTTCTTGCTAGTTACTGGTTTTTGTTTGTTTCTAGGAGAGGAAAAAAAACAACCTAGCAACAAAACCCTGTTATCTTCCTTTAGTTGGCTGTAGAGCACTTGAGCCCCATGTTCGGCTAGGTACGCTGCCTCTCAGAGCCTTTGCTTGCTCCATCACTTCACAGCTTCCTGACTTGTGTTCTGCATTGCATCCCAGGGCTTTTTCAGGAGGAGTCAGCAGAGCAATGCTACCTACTCCTGTCCTCGCCAGAAGAACTGCCTGATCGACCGCACCAGCCGGAACCGCTGCCAGCACTGCCGGTTACAGAAATGCCTTGCTGTGGGGATGTCTCGGGATGGTAAGCTCTGCCAGCCCTCCCTGGGGCAGAGAGGAAAGGTTTAGTATGCTGTGTTCAGCTAGAGACCCACAGGAGTTAAAAGCTAACTGCATTTGGCTGAGAGTTGAGATAATCAGGTGTTTTTCAGACGTTGCTGTCTCTGTTTCTATGTATGTGTTGCTGTATAGTCACAGAAATGTATATAAATCAGGGCACCTTTGAAGTTCTTGGGTCTAATTTTTTCCTACTCATCTGTTCCAGCTCCCAGTTAAGAGCTTTGTCTCTGGTCACCTCCTGAAGATGCAGTTTTTTAGTCTGATGTTAACACTCTCTGTGTGTTCGGTCTGGTTTAAGTGACCTACTGCGGTTGCAAGTAACACTGTGACTGCCACTTGGGGACAGGGTTGAGAGGAGCTGAATGTGCATGTAATGAACATTGGAAGACATGCAAGGAGGAAAACAATGCAATGCTTTTTCAGGGGTAGAGTTCTAGGAGAGTGTTCCAGCGCTGGTAATATCAGGCTCCGAGTCGCAGCTCGAGTAGTGCCGAGCACCTGTCTCTGTGAGACAGGCACTTATGTAAGTCCCTAGAACTGGATTTGCAGCTGATTCTTGCAGGCCTCCCCCACAGCTGTAACCAGGCTGCCATGGCTTACCCAATTTGAAGATCTGACTCAGTCTTTTCCCCTGGCAGTGACAGAGTGCTGCGTGTTCTACAAACACACGCTGCTTCGGGTGCGTGAGGCCTGACGGAGGAGGCTCTTTTCAGATCACACTTACTTCTCCAATTACATTCTCCTCAGTTTTTTATTGGGCATGAGACTAAATACCTGGAACGGTTGATCATGTAATGACTGGTTCCTCTAACATGTTTGTTTTCCTGTAGAAGAGCAGAAGGCAGTAGGCATCATTTTAAAGGATGAGGCCCTAACAGCTGATACAGGTTCTGAAATCACATACTGCATCCCTAGGAATCCCCAGGATGCTGCAAACCAGTTGCTGCTGGCAAACAGTTAATACTTCTCCAAGTAGGGGTAATTTTGTGGAGAGATACACACACACACACACACACATATGGGTTTAGCAGCTATTCCCCTATCACATGTTTTTGCTTGTCACTGTGGTGCTGAGAGCAGGTTCGGTGGCTCTTCCCATGTGCTCAGTCCCAGTCTCAGTGAAGTTTTCTGTTGGCACACTGAGTGTTGGTACCCGATTCACTTTGCAGTGTGTGTGTGCAGCTGGTAGGAGCTGGACAGTTCATCTCAGGCTGGTGCATATGCTGTTTGAGCTTCTGCTTCTCCAGGTGGGATGTGAATGCTGAAGAGACCTGTCAACTTCGGTGAACATACAAGTGAAAAAACCTTTTGGGTACAGAAGTGGAAAGTTACTGAATTAAGCTAACCCAGTGACTTCTAATGGTCCATTTCAGTCCCAGTTAAGACATTCCTTTAAAGAGCAGATGCTGCAGCTGTGTCCCTGTACCTGATGCTTAGCTCTGTCCGTGCTGCTGCTTTGGTTCTCGCGCTCTGTCCTTCCGTGTCGTGTCTGAAGACAACTGAAAGGCAGCAGAGGATGTGTGCAATGTAACCTGTTGTGTGTCTGTATTTCAGCTGTAAAGTTTGGTCGAATGTCAAAAAAGCAGAGGGACAGCCTGTACGCCGAGGTGCAGAAACACCGACTGCAGCAGCAGCAGAGAGACCACCAGCAGCAGCCAGGAGAGGCAGAACCACTAACACCAACATACAATATCACCACCAATGGGTTAACAGAGCTACATGACGACCTCAGTAATTACATTGATGGGCATACCCCTGAAGGTAGCAAAGCAGACTCTGCAGTTAGCAGCTTCTACTTAGACATACAGCCTTCTCCAGATCAGTCGGGTCTTGATATTAATGGAATCAAACCAGAACCAATATGTGACTACACACCAGCATCGGGCTTCTTCCCTTATTGTTCTTTTACAAATGGGGAGACCTCTCCAACTGTGTCCATGGCAGAATTAGGTAATGAGAGAGAAAAGCTTCCATTGTCATTGTCTAACAGTTCCCTTTGGGTTAAAGTGACACGTGTAGCCAGGTGATAGTGAGCTGTGGGGGTGTGTGGGCATCCTGTGAGTGCACAGTGCCTGAGCTGGGGTGCACAGTGATCACCCTGCCAGACTGGGCTGAAAGTCCCAGGAGCTGGGCCTGGTCAGTGCTGCTTTTAGTCCTTGCCATACAGCCTTTTGAGTACTGATTAACAAACTAATTTTTAGTGCTGAGCAAACAGAATATTTCTTTATTTGCAGATGATGTTTTAACGTTTTATCTCCTTTTTCCTCCATACTCCTTATTGCTAACAAAAAAAAAAATTAGAGTTGAGGCTCATTTTCTTCTGCTGTTTACCTGGGAAGTAGGAACCCAAAGCACCAGTTTGATCTTAGGGCACTTCTCCTTGCCACTGGTCAAAGAGAATCTGGCCCCAGATACTGAAGAAAATGTAGCAAGTTTTGATAATTTCTCTAAGAGCCTTATAACAACCACATTAATTAGCACTTTAAACCCTTCACTGAATAATTACACTGGAGCTGAATTCCACAAGTATGACTTGTCAGCAGCTGAGACTCGAGTCGGAGCGTGCTGTGTGAGCTCCAGGTTGTAAACAAAGTGGAGCGGGACATTAGAGAGATGTTTTGAGAGTCTATTACTTATATAAGCAGCCAGGCATTTAAAACTGATTTTGCTTGCTTAAGCAATGTTTTTGCTAATGATTTTATTACCTAAAAATAGCTTGAAAAATCAGGTATTTCACAGCAAAATTTTGCTTGGTTTATGTTGTTTTGAGAAACTTTGCAGAGAGGAAGGCACAGGATCACTTTTTAATGCCCTTATGTTGCAGAATGCTGTACTCTGCATATAATTTGTCCTGACAGCCAAAATGTTCTGTCTGACTGGAGTTTGGATAATTTCAGATGAGTGAGAATGAGAGGAAAATGTCAGGATAAAGGCAACGCTGCCAGCTTTGTCCCAGTCAAGTGGTGGCTGATTTTCTCATGGAAGTTACTAAAAAGGTCTACCTTAAATCCACTGAAAAATAAAGGGCTTTCCCTTTGCAGGCCACGGGCTGAGTTTGGCCACTGGCCTGAAATCAGTTGGTTTTATGGCTTCCCTTTCCTTGCACCGTGCTCAGCTTGGAGCGCCCCACACAGCATGGTCTGGGTGCCCAGCACTGCTGAGCAAGGTGTGAAGAATGTTTGTCTGCCAGATGGAGGTTTCAATTTAGAGAGGTGTGGCTGTTCAATGAAAGTATTTAGGTGTGTGCTGAAACACAGGCCAGAAGTGAGGCCGAGGCTGGTGAACAACATGGTCATATTTCACCTTCTGTATCCTTGCAAGGGCACAGGTCTCCTGCTGCCAGCAAACACTTTAACTGTACACTTGTAAGGAAAAAAAGGGCTCTGAAACACATCAAAGCTACCATGACAAAGGGTAAATTACCTTGTGTTCAACCTTATTGATGCTCAGGTAGCACATACCATCTGATTTTACCTCCTCTGTGTGTTAAAACCCTGTCAGGTAGTATCTTAGACCAAAATCCGAATGCATTCAGCATGGTACCAAACATGATGGGCCCAGCAGTTCAGTTTGGCTTGGGTGGTTACCAAGCCAAGCCAGTCTGACAGACCTAGTGCTCCAGTCCCTCAGAACACCTCTGTCCTGGTAGTGAGCACCATTGCTGTTCACTTCAATCCTTCCTTCTCTGTCCTAGCACCTGAGAGAGCAGTCCCAGAGCTCTGCTGGGTGCTGGCACGGGAGAACAGCCCTGCCTGAAGAGACAGAGTGAGATTCAGGTGTCTGAATGCTGTTCATGCTTCTGAAGGTGTTCTGAAACTTCATAGAACCAAGTTTTATTAATTAAATCTGCCTTATGGGTCTTTTAATCGAGTACAGCAGCAGGAAACAATTTTATTTGGAATGACAACATTGTATGGAAATCACGTGCAGTTACCTAAGTGACCACTCTAAAGCTGAAGGAAAAAAAACCTTAGTGATTCTTTAGTGTGTTGTAATAATCATTTGGATTCTCCAATAGATCTATTTTTCTAATGTTTTCAATTATATGAGAGGAAAAGACAGGACCCTTTGCCCTGGCAGGCTCACGGTGAGGGTCTCACTTGATGGAACACTCAGCAGATGCTAACGATCCCTATTTCTTTATTGGGTTGTATAGAACAACCAGATTGGCATTTGCAGCTCTGCTGCCTGGTGGGCAGTGCTGTGGTGTTCCTGGCCATGCCATGGTGCCCTGCACTCAGCCAGGCTCTGTGTGCCTAACGTGGGCTCTGTGTGCCTGGCACAGGCCCTGTGTGCCCAAATGTGGGCTCTGTCCCCTCTCTGCTGTGCCATGACCTCTGTGGCTCTGCTGCCTGGGGCAGCTCTCAGCAGGGCTCAGGGCTGAGCTGTGCCCCTGAGGGCAGCAGGGCAGTGTGCTGAGGTTTTGCACGGTTTCAGTGCTGCACGGCCGGGAGGGCTGTGCCTGTAGGGCTGTGCCCACAGGTCCCACAGAGCTGTGCCCACAGAGCTGTGCCCTCAGGGCTGTGCCC